TTCGATTTGTCTAGAACAAAGTGTGTGCTAGAAAGACCATGGCGGAGTTATGAGCCCGTTTGGAAATGGGTTCACGTCCGCTTTTCAATCAAGCTCTCTTTGCAGGAAGTTTTAGATTGAGTTCGGATGATGAACTTGAGTAGGGATTTATGGAAGGAAAGGAAAAAGGAAGAAAAACAGTAACAAAAAAAGAAAAGGCTAAATTTTTTTTTTTTTTTTTTTTCACTTTCATTTACATTTTTCCACTACAAATCTTTATTCAAATTTATGATCTAAACATAGTCACACAGTTTGCTCGGAGATGGGAATCCTTTGGCTAGTCATCCTAGTGACAACTTGATTATTTGGCACAGGATTGGTCTGGCATCAGGTTTATATATATATACAAATTAATTGTCAAACTCCACCTAAAATTTCCTTGGCATGGGATTGGTCTTGCATGATAGGCCATGTATGCCATGAGGGGAATGAGTGCACAAAATATGCCATGTTTTGTCTTGTCCATGTTGACTCGCTTTTATGCTGTGTTTAGTTGAGGGATTTGAGGAAAGATTTGGAAAGGGGAAATGGAAATGATAGGTGAAATATGAATAAAATATATACATTTCACTCAGTTTCACATACCTTTTTCCTTTCCCTTTACAAATCTGTCCCCAAATTTCTCAACTAAACACAGCTTAGTGTATGTGAGCACTTCATATCCTTTCAGCCATTGCCACTTCATGTCATTTGGACTCCATTTTTTTGCTAGAGCCAATGTTTGTAGAAAAAAGTGTCTTCAAAGAAAGCTTACTCTAACTGACTCCATTTTATGTTGTTAGAATTTGAGGAGAAAGCCAACATGGGTTATGTCCCCCATTATTTTGGTTAAAATTTTCATATGCCTTTCAGTTGGCATCTAAATTAAATCAACTGAAAAAATAAGAACATGGGACAATCAAGACACCGTTAGGACACATGGGAACTACTGCCAACTGGGAAGAAAATTCAACATGTGAACATGATGAGGAAGGAGCAGTTGGAAGCAATTATAGTGATGATTACTAATGCTGTTTAGAAGAAGACGAACATGAAGAGTGGGCATTCAAAGTAACCGATTTAAGGATGTAGATGGGTTGTTTACCATCTGTGTAGATGAGATACCTGACTCCATGGATCCAAAAGGGTTATTCACTTTATTCAGTAAGTTTGGAATAGTTGAGGATGTCTTCATTCCAACAAAAAGAAGACAAGTATCGGACTCCTGGTTCGGATTTGTAAGGTACGACTGTGAGGTTGCAGGAGACATGGCGATGCAAAAGGCTGATGGGATATGGTGTAACAATAAAGCTTTGAAGGTGAATAATGCAGAATACAAAAAAAGGGATCAAAAGTAACCTACAGTAAGGAACTTAGGCCAGAAGCTGGAGCATCACCAACAGAGAATTTTCGCAATGCAAAAAATAGAGTATGACAAGGGAGTGCAAAAATAGCACACAATAAGAAGCAGAGGAGGTGAGATGATGAGATAGTACCAACAAAGGAACTCGGCACAGCATCAACTGAAGCCTGTAGGTAGATCTTACGCTTAAGCTGTTCAAAATGGAGGGCTTCAGGAGAGAAAGGAAGTAGTTGTTAAGGCTTATGAGTCTAGAAATGGGTGGTTATACGAAAGTCTGATTGTGAAGCTGAAGAACTTTTTTTCATTCAATGATTTTCACCAGGAGTTTGAAATAAGATAAATGAAAGAGATAAGAGTGAGAGATGGAGGTGGAAAGTTAGCATTACTAACATTTAAATCAATGCAACATATGAAGGAAGCAAGACTATCTGTTGAAGAATGGATTTTTGATTGGTGTGAATCCATAAGTGATTGGGAAAAAAGGCTGTATATTGCTCATGAAAGGTGTGTGTGGATTACTTGTGTGGGTGTTCCAGTTAACTTGTGGAGTGTCCACACTTTCACAGATATTGGTAAACTATGGGGGCAAGTTGTTCAATTGGATGACAACATTCTTAATCACAACTCCTTTCAATATAGTAAGGTAAGAATTATTACGAATAGATTTGAGTTCATAAACACAGTGATCAAGGTTGAATGCAATGGTAAGTTTTTCCCAGTTCGTGTATGTGAAGATTTTTCAGTATTTGTCACTCCATGTGTTTGTCAAGGGGAGTGAGAAAGTTGCTTCCAAATCTCAAGAATAGGTTGATCAAATGTCAAAACATGATAATGGAGATGAGGATGATGAGAATGCAAATGCAGGGAAGGAGGAAATGTCAAGGAAAGATGATGTTGTAGGCAAAGAGCAGGGCATGGTAGACACAGATGTAGAGGAGAAGGGAGGAAGCAATAAATGGGAGTCTGTATCAGCCGTAAAAGAGACTGGGTGTGATGTGGAAAATCCAATTGATGGAGGTGACTGTGTGGAGGTAGGTCTGCAACAGGTGGGGGTAGCTCAAGAAAAAATGTGGCAAATGAAATTCAAATAGTTACAAGTCAGATATGTTCCACTGGATTCATTAGGAGCATTAGTGGGCCAGAAAATTTAAGGCCCAACATCAATTTAGAGGTAGTCTTAAATAAGGCTCAGCTTGGGGACTTAGCAGATGGGCCTATCATTGAGGCTTCTAACCTCAGTGATTGTGCTGAACAAACTCAGTTAAGCCCACTGGTTATTAAATCAACCCAGCAGGAAGTGAACAATAGGGGCATTACAGAAACAAGGGGGAAGACAAGTGAAAAAGCCATCAATCGTAGTAGGAGAAAAGGTGCTGATATGAAGAATAGGGGAAAGATACACCAAAAGCAACTGAAGAACAAGGGTGTGCTGTTCAGCAATAGTCTGCAAAAGGGAGCTATATTCCGGGCAGCAGCTGCTGCAATCTCATTATCAGTGCCCCAGAGTTCAGATTCAAGGAGAAGAAGAAAGTTGTTGACTAAAGCACAAGCCACAGTTCAAGTTGGAAAAATTTTAGGGCTGAGTTGTGAAGGCAAGGAGGAGGAGGTAGTAAACAAAATAGTTGAGCTAGAATAAAAGGATCTTGAAAGAATGGAAGGCATAGGTGCAGCCCCCTAAGCCAATTGGTTGTTACTAGGAGGTTTGGTGTATGTTAGTAGTTTCCTTATGAAGATATTATCTTGGAATGTTAGAGGTCTAAGAAGGCCTAAAAAGAGGAGGCAAATAAAGAACTTGGTGAGGGCTAGAAAGATTGATGTCCTATTGTTACAAGAAACAAAGAGGTGCAGTGTGGATGCAAATTTTGTAAAGTCATTATGGCCTTGGGAGGAGATGGACTTCATGGAGGCTGGTGTAGAGGGTAGTGCTGGAGGTATGATATGCTTGTGAAATCCAGATATCTTTGTACTACAAGAGTGTTGCAATAATAGAAATTTCATTCTGTTGTCAGGTACTTCAAACCACTCCTTTGATTGTGTTATAGTAAACATTTATGCTCCAAATGAAATAATGAAAAGAAGGCAGCTATGGGTATCTCTAGTGAAACTTAAATCTACTTTTTCAAGGCCTTGGTGTGTAGGAGGTGTTTTCAATGAAGTTAGAGTTATGAGTGAAAGGAAAGGGTGTTTGAGTAAGGATAGAGGAATGAAGGATTTCAATGATTTAATTGATAATCTGGAGCTGATTGATATCCCAATGATAGGCAAAACCTTTACATGGTGCAATGCTTTGGATGGGGATAGGTGGAGTAGGATTGATAGATTCCTAATTAACCATAGGTGGTTAGACAAGTTCTCATTTAAGCAATGGGGGCTACCTAGAAGTATTTCTGACCACTGCCCTATATTATTAATGGAAGATGAGAGGGATTGGGGCCCATGGCCTTTTAGATTCATAAATGCTTGGGGGTTGCATCCTGATTTTAAATCTAAAGTGAGGAAATCTTGGGATAATAATCAGATCAGAGGTTGGGCTAGTTATATGTTAATGAAAAAGTTGGGGAATCTCAGAGCACATCTCAAAAGGTGGAATTGTGAAGTGTTTGGAAACATTGATGAGCAATTGAAACAAACTGAGGGTGAACACCATGACTGGGATATTTAGGCTGAAGGTAGGAACTTGCTGGAACATGAGGTCAAAAGGTGAAGGGAGGTTAGAAGACTAGTCTGGGAACTGAACAAAAAGAAGGAGTGGTTATGGCATCAAAAATCCAGACTGTCATGGATAGCCAATGGGGACAAAAATACAAGGTTCTTTCATATCTTGGCTAGTAGCAGGCAGAGGAAAAATTTACTAGATTCTGTCAACGAGAATGGTGTCTCCTATGAGCAGCCAGATGTTATGAAACAAGCAGCGGTGAGATAATATAGTCAATTGTTTTCTGAGGATTGGAAGATTAGGCCAAAACTGTCAGGTGCATTTGTCACAATTGGTCCTGAAGAATCAGAGTTGCTAGAGGCAGAGTTTTCAGAGGAGAAAATTTGGGAAGCAGTCAATGATTGTGATGGTAATAAAGCCCCGGGGCCTGATGGGTTTAATTTATCTTGCATCCAGAAATGCCGGAATATAATGAAAAGGGAGGTAATGCAACTTATGTCTGATTTCCATTCTAATGGTAAGTTGGCTCGAGGTGTGAACAGTTCATTCATTACTCTAATTCCCAAAAAAGATAATTCCTTGGGTCTGAGTGATTATAGGCCTATTAGTTTGGTAAGTTCAGTATACAAAATTGTTGCCAAGGTCTTATCTAGCAGATTGAGAAAGGTACTTCCAAAGATTATTAGTGAAATGCAAACGGCCTTTTTGAGTGGAAGGTGTATCTTGGATGGGGTGCTAATTGCCAATGAAGTGGTAGATTGGTGGAAGAGATCAAAGAAACAAGGCATCATCCTTAAACTGGATTTTGAGAAGACATATGATTCAATAAACTAGAAGTTCTTGTATTCAATGTTGACTAACTTTGGTTTTGGAGAGAAATGGGTGAGGTGGATGAAAACATGTATCTCTATAGCTAGAGTCTCCGTGCTAGTTAATGGCTCACCCACAACAGAATTTTCTCCAATGAAAGGCCTCAGGCAAGGTGACCCACTTTCACCATTCCTTTTTAACATTGTTGCAGAGAGCCTTAACTTATTGATGTCAAGAGCTAAAGAAGTGGGTTTGATAAGAGGAGCTTCAATTGGTCCAAATGATCTGAGATTATCTCACATTCAGTTTGCAGATGATACCATTATATTTTGTAAAGCAGATTGGGAGGAAATTATTGCTATTAAGCGAATTCTTAGATGTTTTGAGATATTGTCTGGATTAAAAATTAATTTCCACAAAAGTCAGGTTTATGGAATAGGTGTGCAGGATAATCTAGTGAAAGAATTTGCAAATAGGCTCAATTGCCATAGCCAAAAGCTGCCTTTGAAGTATCTGGGTCTGCCTTTAGGAGCAAATCCAAGGAGAAATAGCACTTGGCAGCCAGTGGTGGATAATTTTAAGAAGAAGCTAGCTCTATGGAAGAGAATGTGCTTGTTTTTTGCAGGTAGAGTAACCTTGATAAGATCAGTGCTGTCTAGTTTTCCAGTCTATTTTTTATCTCTGTTTAAAATGCCAGTGGGTATTGTAAAATCACTTGAAAAAATTCAGTCTAATTTCCTCTGGGGAGGATCTGAATTAAGGAGAAAACTACAATTACTTAGTTAGAAGGCAGTATGCTTGAGCAAGTTACAAGGAGGGTTAGGGGTCAGAAATTTGAGGGAGGTAAATGATTGCCTACTTCTAAAGTGGTGGTAGAGGTATGGTAAAGAGGAGAAGGCTTTGTGGAAAGAGGTGTTGTGCAGCAAGTATGGAGGGTTTGGCGGTAGATGGAGTCCGTTACTTATGGTTTCAGGTATGATGTCTATTCTGTGGCAGGATGTCTTATCAGTGAATCTATCTAATCCTGCTTTGAGTGTATTCTTTTTCAACTATGTCAAAACAGTAGTGGGAAATGGTAGAAGGATTCAGTTTTGGGTTGATAGATGGTTTAGCAATCAAAGTCTTAGTGAAGCCTTTCCCAGATTGTTTTCATTGTCAACAGAAAAAGGGGAGTCATTGCTACATTTTGTCCAAAGGAAAGGAAAGGGTCGCAACTGGAAGCTTGCTTTTAGGAGGCCCCTATTTGCTTGGGAAGAGAAGGAAGTGTCCAACTTGAATGTTTTGTTGCATAATGCACCTACTATAAATGCTTTAGTTGAAGATTCTTGTCTTTGGTTAGCTCACTCTTCTGGGTTTTTTACTGTGGCATCAGTGTGGAAATCTTGGAATCATCCAAAGGTCCTGTAAAATCAATTACAAAGACCATTTGGAGGAATATATGCAATTCCTGAGTTGGCTAGCTTGGAGAAGTAGGATTAAATCCTCAGCTTTTTACTTAGGATTGAAGTATTGAATCCAAATGTCAATCCACTGTGTGTGTTTTGAAAATCTGAAGTGGAGACCATAAATAATGTGCTACTTCACTATCATCTGATATGGGGAGTTTGGTCTGAAATTGTCAATTGGTGGAATTTGAGTTAGTGCATTCCCGGTTCAATGGAGGATCTACTTCAATGGTGGTCAGGTATTAGACAGAAGACTAAGGTGAAGGAAATTTGGAAGGTAGTTCCTTTAGCAATGCTGTGGTCTTTATGAAAACTCAGGAATGAGTGTTTGTTTAAAGAGGCAAATCCAGATTTTGCAGAATTAACAGAGTTAGTGAATGTTAGAGTTGCTTTATGGGCAAAATCAAATTTGAAAGAGAGCAGTACTCAGTGCATAACATTGTATCTAATTTGAAGCATGTATGTTATTGAGTATAGATGGGAATCAACCTAGTTGCTGATGCTGCTACCAATTGTTGCTGCTAGTCAGAGTTGGCTAATCTGTCCTATGCTACTTAGCTAATCTGTTATGTGCTCCTCTAGCTCTTTGCTGCTCTGTCTCTTTGTAGTATATCCTGTTATCTGTGTCTATGTATTTTAGGACTACATAATGGAGTAAGGCATTGCTGTTCTTGTGCTGCTGTATGTTGCTGATATATGATGTTGCAGTTGGAGTCTCATTGATTTGGAGCTGCTTTTGGTACTGGCTTGCGGTGAAAGTGTCATGGTCTGAGGATGTTGTGATCTGTTTTGCACTGGAGGTTGTAGGATTAGACTTAAGGCTAGTGGTTTGTTTGCTGGCTGATTTGGTTGTTGGTTTGAGTGGAGTTCCTGGCACCAAAACTTCTGGTTTGTTCTATTTTGCTGATTTGGCTTGATGATTAGTTGCTTCGAAATGGTGGCTTCTCCAACCTCCCCTGGCTGCTGCTATCAGGAATAGGATTAAGTCTGAATTGGTTGAAGGAGTAGGCTCAAGTCTGGTGGTTTGGTAGTTGTTTGAACTGGTTGTTGGTTTGAATTGGCTTATTGATTGGCTGCTGCTATATGTGTTCTGCTCCTGGTGTGCATGCTGCTGTTATATGATGTTTTGGTGTGCATGCTGCTGCTGTATTGGAGTCTAAATGTTTTGGAGATATTTTTGCTACTGTATTAGATTTCTGTTCTATATTGTTTTGCCTGGTGCCAACCTGTTTTGCACTGGTTTGTTGTCTTGTTTGCTTGTTTCCTCTTTGGCTGGTTTCTCATCAACCTGTCGACTTGAGCTAGCAGATGATTGTGCATTCTCCTTGGTGCCAACCTAGTTGGGATTAGGAAGGTTTGCTATGATGCTTTTTGCTCTTGCCTCCCCTCCTTGTTGATGTATTCCATGATGTATTTTTGTTATGTTACCATCAATAAAGAGTTTTCTTTGCTGATCAAAAAGATTACTAATGTTGTTTGATAGAGGGATTTGAGGAGGGATTTGAAAATGAAAAAGAGAAAAGTGTGTAAAATGTACACATACTTTTTCTCTTTTCCTTTCCAAATTTCTTCCCAAATCCTCCAACCAAACATAGCGAAGAATTTGAATTCAAAATATAGAGGGAAGCATCCAGCAAAAAAGAAGACATGGAGACTAACCATGGAGACGTGTAGAGTAGTTTCAACTGTTTCGACGATTACCAAAAGATCAGAGAAATTGTTGTCTGTATAAATAGCAGTTCAAATGAATAAAAGACCCCCCCCCCTAAATCAAACCATGTCAAACTAGAAGTAAGAGTAGGCAAAGACTTGTGTTGAGTTTCATTTTCATAGGAGTAAAGATTGCAGTAATAATAGAGGAGGAGTAGTCAAAGGCTTTTGAACATAACTTTACGTTGTGTTTGGTTGGAAAATTTGAGGAAAGATTTGGAAAGAAAAATGGAAAAGAAATGTGAAATGTGAATAAAATATACCTATATTTCACTTAATTTCACACACTTTTTTCCTTTCTTTTTTTAAATTCTCTCTCAAATCTCCCAACTAAGCACAGCATTACCGTGCTTAGAAAGAATAGTGGTAGTAAGGTACAATTGCATTTTGTAATTGGGTAAGTCTATGTAATTACTTAGAAAGAATAGTAGTTGTAAGGTACAATTCTATTTTGTAATTGGGTTGTTCTTAGACTTGTTACAACATAAGTCTGTGTAATTACGCTAAACTAATCACATTTATTGTATTTTCTTAAACTTCATTAGTGGTCACTATAACTTGCCCTAGTTATTTTTTGAAATATTTTTATACCCTACTATACACGGTGCACATGCCCATAAGCTATAAAAGTCCTCATAAATCATTAACCCAAAATTCCCAAGCGGCTAATCCTATTCTCTAGGTTCACCTTTATTCATCTCACATCCGCACTCTCTCTCTCTCTCTCATGGCGGCATCAAAGACCACAATAGTCGATGAAGTCTGGAGATCACAGTATGTATACGTTTCTATACCATATGTTTTTATTTATTTATTTAAATTTTTAATTTTTTAAGTATAATATATTTTTTATATTTAACAAGATATTTCAAATATGAACTATGTTTATTTTTCTTTGAAATCTGGAATCTCTGTCATAGTTCTTTAGAATTATAATGTTTTTGCCTTTCATTTTTGCTTCTAGATTGAAATCTATCTAAAATATAAAGAGAGAACACCAATTGAAATTGATCTAAGGTTTGCTATTCCCAGAGTTGATATTTTCACGTTGGACGAATTACATTAGTAGTCTCTGCATTTTACTTTTAGTGTCATTTTGATTCTTACACTTTCAATTGGCTTAATTTTGATATTTAATTTTAAATTTTGTGTCAATTTAGTCCAATTGATGATTCTGTTAAAATTTTTTACAAAAAATGATCACTGAGTTTGTTGAGGTTAACTCACGGAGTTGATCAAGTTTATAATTTTGTTCATAAAAGTATGACACTTGCACAACTCATATGCATATTTTTCAGGAAAAAAAATGCTAATTATTGAACCAATTGGACCAAATTGAAACAAAAGAAAATATTCAAGGTGAAAATAGAGTCCAATAAAATTACAAAGATCAAAATAACATAAGGACCAAAATATAGGAACTAATGATGTAAATTGCCTTTTTAACGTTTTATTCACGATGGCTCTCGAAGGTGGTTTTATTTAAGGTGAGAGGAATCTTTATGGTGTTGTGTCATGCAAATTGATGGATTTTGATTTATGAGGTGTAGGAGAGGGTTCAAGAAAAGAGTTAGAAAATTCGAAGATCTTCGAAGATCCTTGAAGAACAACTTCGAATTCTCTAGAATATGATGAGAGGCTTAGATTCTTCAATAATCTCAACTTAGGAACACGACAACAAAGGAGATGATGGAGATAAGAGATTGGGTGAAGAAGAAGGCAAAATGGCTAGAGAATAGAATAATGGCAAGGCTCTCCCATTGATCTCCCACTTTCACTCTCAAGGTCGATAATGGAGAAGGGAAATTAGTTCTTTCCCAAGAGTTAAAAAAAATCTCCAAAATCCATCCCCTTGTAAAGCTATGGGTGGGTGCTATTTATAGGCACCTCATGATGTAGGATGAAAGGAATCCGGTACCTCCTCGGAAGTAAAGTTCACCTTGAATAATTGTGAATTGGGCAAGCTTGGCCATAGTCAGTTTTCCAACTTTGCTTCTGAGTTGCTCGAGGACTTCTCCTCTCCAGTCCTCCGGAAGGCCTTTGTCTTCGGGTATTATTGAAGGTTCTGTTCTCTTCTTGATAACAATTGTTGCCTCTTCCTCTGGAATGTCAACTCTTGCCCCTAATGTTGAGAGG